CTAAAAGTAAAAACCCCCCCAAATCAGGGTCGTGTTCGGTCGTGCTTAAAATCCAATTAAAATTGAAAATATAGTCGTTATTGGATCTCACTCGTCTAATAAAAGTCAATAATAATGATTAGTTTTTCAATTTTAATCCTATTTTAATCTCTACCGAACATGCCACAGATCCCCAATTCCCGTTTCAGAAGACAAACTTCCTTAAAAGTTCAAAAGAGAAACCCTTTTTTCTGATCTTCGCCGTTTGCTCTCAGTTGTCTTCGCCCTAAGGTTTCGACCATTCCAAGTGTTGGTTGTGAGTGCTTTAAATGTCATCAAATTGGACACTGGGCGAAAGATTGTCCCAGCTTGAGCAATGATCCTCCAGCTTATGGGAGTAGTAACCCAACTCCTAGGGCGAGTGCTGGTGGCGAGTGCTTTAAATGCCATCAAATTGGGCACTAGGTAAAAGATACGCTCCTCCAGCTTATGGCAACAATAACTTGATTCCCGGACTATATGGTAATATACCAAAGGAACATGTTGGTGGGTTCTAAATCTTGACTTCTGAATGGAAGTGGTCGATTGCACCTATACACAATGGATAGTTTGAAGACCATCGGCCAAGTTTTGCTATGGGGGAGACACCCCCTATTTTGGATTGCTATGCTATGATTTTGTACTTCCGTGTTTTAAGAATTGTGCTTGGTGTGTAGCAAACGCAGTTGTGTTGGTACTTGCAAAGGTAAGAACATGGATATAGCTTTAGAATAATTAATATCGACTTTTGAATGGAAGTGGCCAGTTGCACATGTACACAATAGATCGTCTGAAGGCCACCGGTCAAGTTTTACTATAGGGGAGACACCCCCTATTTGTGGGCTTGCTATGCTATGATTTTGTCCTACCGTGTTTTAAGAAATGTGCTTGGGGTGTAGTAACGCAGTGGTGTTGGTACTTGCAAAGATAAGAACATGGATATGGCTTTAGAATAATTAATATCGACTTTTGAAAACATTTTATTGAACATGTTTTCTGTAAATTATTTTCTCTGTATTTGAGGTTTTTGAACCTTTGGTACAACCCAGCCGTTGCAATTTTTCTGATGTTAAACCTTATTTATGGTGAAGTTTAGTTTTCACATAAGTTGCAGGATTTGGTTAATAGTTAAACTGGTTATAATGTGGACACTGCAGTTTGACAACGAATGGAATTTGTAATACATAAATTACTCATTTTGAAAGTAACTAATAAATTTGACTTTTGTTTTTTCACTTTAAAGTAAACAAAAGTGAGCCGTCTCAAATTTGCTATTAAATATCCAGGTTATTAAACATGGTGAATTCATGTATATTAGTTCACATCTTAGAGGGGGAAAATTTTGCTTTTCATTTTTCGCCTCTTGTTCTTGATTGCTAACTAGCTACTGCTTTTTCTAAGTTCTGTCACTTTTTTTGAGTTTCGGTCATTTTTTATAATGTTTGTCACTATTTTTTTATTACTTTTTTGATTTTTTGGTCACTTTTTTTACTAACAAAATGACTTTTCTATAAAAGTGAGATTGTGTCACACTATCACTTACTTAATTTTGTATACTACCATCTAGGGATGTCAACATTGCTCATCAATTTTATAAAAGTGACATTGTGTCACTTTTTTTTTAGTTTTTGTCACTTTTTAGGTTTTTGTCACTTTTTAAAAAGATAAAAAAATGAAGTAATATGTTTTATTGTCCTAACATAATCAGTATATGGATTGGTCTGAACATACTGATTATTTTAAGAATATGATAACTGATGTTGCACAAATAGATGGTGCTATTTTGGTATTTGTCATTTTTTTGAGTTTGTGTCACTTTTTTGAGTTTGTATCACTTTTTGAGAGTGACACTTTTTTTGGTTTTCTCACTTTTTTTGAGTTTATGTTATTTTTTCATTTTATACAGTATTTTTTACTTCCTAAAACCTTTCATATGATTTTTCAAAACATCCATAATTTTAAGGGTATTTTTGTAAGTACCCCTAATATTTTTCTCCAGGTTTTCATCTTTGAATTTTGCTATTTTTTGCCACTTTTGCATTCGTTTCTCTAATTCTTCATTAAGGCCCTGTTTGGTACACATTATTTTTTCATTCTCATTTTCAACCACACATTCTTCAATAAAATAATATATTTTTCATCACATCAATAACTTTTCCTTCTTTTTAACCATATATTCTTCATCAATCTACTATTTAATAATACATTCTTTCAAAAGAAGGTGCCCCAAACACACTCTAAATATAAAATTTTACCTACAAAACACAATATAATATAAATTAGGCAGAATTTAATCTAAAAGACAATAAAATATTATGATTTAGTGTCACAAATAAGTGCATAAATTACGTTTATCAGTATCTTACAGTGTTTCAAAGTATAAGATATTTTGGTCCGCATGCCACCATTTCCTACATGTATTTTTACATATTTTCTTCGATGGAAGAATTTGTTTCCTGTCTGTGTATGAGGAAGATTTGGAGGATATATCATTGTACTATTTGGAATAGGCATTTAAAGGATCAGAGATTCCTTCATCGAACCCTTTGCCATTGTTGTAGTTGCTGATTTTTGGGGTTGGTTGTCCGAGTGCATACCTGTTTATTCTTAGAGTTTACCACTGCATATCTTGTGTGAGATAAGTATCGTCTAATAGTACAGCTGTTTCTTTTTTGCGAGTGTTAAAGCATACTTTAGTTGAATCTTCAGTGATCAAGAATTCGCTTGAGTGATTATATATGCAGGGGTTTCCTTTTGAGCGATTTCAATCTGTGTTTTTAGTCGACATACCCAGAAATTACATGTGCTGTCTTATTGTGGCAAGAGTCCCATAGCCCATAGCCCATAGCCCAATTTCTATCAGTAGCTAGTCCTCGGAATTGATCACATCGTAACTCAACTAGGGGTGAAAGCGCTAAAGTTCATTTAGGGAGTACGGTCTCATTTCAAAACTTTTCTTCACCTAAATATTGATCATCTTTCCTGTTTTAGCTCTAAGTCGTCCTTTAAGGAGCTGTAGCGTGCAACAACTAGTTCTTTCTTTCTCCAATGGAAAATCAAAATTTCATCTGGGTTTGAACACTACTCGGTGGCTCCTAGTTTGGTATTTAGAATGTGGATATCCAAGTATGGAACTGAGATAATTAGGCTAGCCCGTGAAATGAAAGTTAAGAGATAACTTATAAACATCGACTACAAGCTCATAGTAAGCCAAGTCAAAGGCAACTTCACTGTGTGAGAAAAAAGCATGGCAGCCTACTTATAGATTTCTTACCTTATTTTGAAATTTTTGAACTCAAGTAAATTCACGTTTTGAAAATGTGAATATACCATCGAAATTGGCAACCAGAAAAGATTTAGAATTACTAAATATAGTGATAGTAAAGCATTTACAACAACCTTCCATTAGTG